GAAGAGCAGCCAAGAGAAAATGTTGCTTGTGAGGCCTTTGGATGTGCTTACTGTATTCCTATACCCAGAAGCAGTGAGAGCTGTAAGCCACATTCAAAGATAGAAATGCAGTGACTGGCCAAGACAAAATGGCTACTGGGAGGTTGTTCTTGCTGGTTGGCTTTATGACTTGCTTTGCCAATGAAATGTGAGCATGCAGAAGCTTTCTGTAGACAAAGTGTGGTTCATCCTCTTAACTTCCCATGTCCCTGAGACCAGCAACGGTCCATATAGAGCAGTGGTTCTCAACCTTTCTAATGCCACGACCCTTTAGTACAGTTCCTCATGTTGTGGTGACTCCCAACCATAAAATTATTTTCATTGCTACTGCATAACTGTAATTTTGCTACTGTTAATGAATCATAATCTAAATATCTGTGTTTTCTGATGGTCTTAGGCTCTACAGCAGCAGGGTTGCCTAATACCATCGGAAAACACAGATATTTACATTATGATTCATAACAGTAGCAAAATTACAGTTATGAAGTAGCAACAAAAATAATTTTATGGTTGGGGGTCACCACAACATGAGGAACTGTATTAAAGGGTCATGGCATTAGAAAGGTTGAGAACCACTGATATAGAGAATGCTCCACCAGACCCGGTCTTAAAGTAAAGATGACATGGACACATGGTCAGAATCAACCCATCGTGGACATGTAATGTGAGCAAGATATGTCAGCATTTGTGTTCTAAGCCAGAGAAATTTTGGGATCGTTTGTTATTGTGGTATAACCTAACCTATCATGACTGATGCAAAGGCTACAACTAGAACCTGGCCTTCCTAATCCCAGTCAATGGTAATTAAATTATTTTTTGTCTGAGTATTACTTATCTATTACCACATAACAAATTATTCCAAAATGTAGCAGCTTAAAGCAACAGACATTTGTTAACACAGCTTTTGTGGGTCAGGAATCTGGGCATAGATTAACTGGGTCCTCTGCCTCTAGGCCTCTCAGCACTTCCAGGAGGTGTCAGCCAGGGATGAGGTCTCATCTGAGGCTCAACTGAGGAAGGAGCCACTTCTAAGCCCCCATGATTGTTGGCTGCATTCTGGTTCTCAGAGGCTGCTGGACTGCAGGCCTCAGAGCCTGGCTGCTTTGGGCCAGAGTTTCCCTTTGCTCTTTGCCATACAGGTCTCTGTAACATGGCAGTTGACTTCATAAAGCAAGCAAACCTAGAAGGCAACAGAGTCTGCTAATGAGATGGAAGTCACCGTTTTTATAACCTAGTCATGGAAATGATACCCATCATTTTCCCCTTATTCTATTCATTAAAAGAAAATCATTATGTCCAGTCCACTCTCAAGGGGAGCATGCAAGAAGGTGAAAACCAGGAGTCGGGATCACAGGGGGCCATCCTAGCAATTTGTTTTCAAAGGAAATGGTCCTTGAATGGAAGTGAGTAAAACCTCTGACATCTGTCAAGATTAAATTGATCCACCAACCAAAAGCCAGTTTCAGTGACTGAAACATGTTCCTATTTGATTCATTTCCACTATGACTATGGATTTAGATCATGTTTCCTCTCAGATTCCGGTCCTTCTTGGCAACAGTCCACATATTCTCTTCCATTGTGTGTTCTGCTACAAGTTCTGTTAGGCTCGCTTAAGGTTGGGATCAGGCTTGCCCCAGGCATGGACACCCCTAGTTATTTTTTCTGAGGACAGAAAAGAGCCAACAGGAGCCTGTTATAAGAGACTGGCAGACTCTTAAAACATCTTAGCCAGGAAAGACACACAAGAGATCACTGAGTTCTCAATTGCTGCCTCTCCCCAACCCCAAAACACCCCCACCCCCAGCCTTCTGCATGGCCTTCCATGCCTTCAGATGCCTTCTTTTAGTTTTATCTTCCTTTCCCCAGATAAGATGGTTCTTTTATCAACCAGGTACTGCTGTGAAACAAATAGCCATGACGCCTAAGTGACATGCAACCATAGACATCCTTTCTCAGTCATGTGTCTGCAGCTTGGCCGGAGCAGCCCTGTGTCCCAGATGGAAGTCCTACTGATCACCTAGGGTAGCTCTGCCCCTCATCTCTTTTATTTTCCTGGGCCAGTGGGTTACCAGAGGTATATTTGGCTTATGGAAATGGCAAAAGCACAAGAGGGCAAGCCCACCCCAGCACATTTCCAACTCTTGTGTGTGCCATCTGGCTTAGCTCAAGGTCAAGGACAGAAGGGGCTCCAATTGCCAGGAGGCCACATCTGGAGTGTAAATGTATTCATTACTATAGAGTAGTGGTCGGCAAAGTCATTAGTCAACAGAGCCAAATATCAACAGTACAACAATTGAAATTTCTTTTGAGAGCCAAATTTTTTAGACTTAAATTTCTTCTAACGCCACTTCTTCAAAATAACTCACCAAGGCCATGGTATTTTGTGGAAGAGCCACACTCCAGGGGCCAAAGAGCCGCATGTGGCTCTCGAGCCACAGTTTGCCGACCACAGCTATAGAGGGATGAAGAGTTGGGACCCAAAATTTAATGGAATGCACTCTTACTTTTCCTTCACACCATACTGAGGTTTCAGACTTAGTATTGAAACACTTGGAGTGGAAATACAAGTGGTTAGGAGGCAGATTTCTGCTTCCAATCTTATCGGAGAGGAAGGCAGATATTCAAAGAGAGTAAACTAAGCGGCACACCTAGCAGGTGGATGGGACAGGGAGGTGGGGTCTGGAGAGGGTTTTGAAACCAGAGAGAGGAGCAATCCATCCATTCCTTTCTCTGGGTCCCCGAGAGGCAACTTGGTGTCTGGCCAGGTTCTTCCCAGTGTGGGGCACACCCACCGGCAGGCGCAGGGGAGGTGCTTTTAGATGACAGAGAAAGGAGGTGTCCCTCTTGCTTTGAATCACCAACTGGGAACGCAATTCCCTTTTCCATGATCTACCCATCCTGATTGCACGAGGAGAAAGTCTCCTTCTGCCGTAGCATGAGTCTCACGCCTCTCTTATACCCGCTGATCTCCCTTTGTCACAGCTCCTAAACCCCAGGCTCCTGGGCTCATTCAAGCAACAGTGTCTGGCTAGAATGCACTAACGCTGTTTTCTTTGGGTAGTGTTTAGATTAGTAAGTTTGTCTTCCATTTCTGGCAGATGGCACTAGTTTCCTGTTTACCATCATGACATAGAACTTCCTTTTAAAATAAATATAGTTAGCCCTGGCCAGTGCGGCTCAGTTGGTTGAACATCGACGGGTGCACCAAGAGGTCACGGTTCAGTTTCCGGTCAGGGCACAGGACCAGGTATGGGTTTAGTCCCTAGTAGGGTGTATATGGTAGGTGACTGATTGATGTTTCTCTTTTTCCCTTCCCCTCTCTCTCTCAAATCAATTTAAAAAACAAAACAAAACAAAACAAAACAAAAACAAACCCACACCATGTAAATATAAACAGAGTAGTTTTAAATGAAAATGTTAAGTGAATACTAGTTCAGGTGGCATGTGGAAATGGCAGAAATAATGGCTTGTGAGTCTAAATTCAAATCCCCGCTCAATCCCTCACATAGGGCCTCTGGGCAAGTTTCTTAGGCAGCTTCTCAGAGCCTGTTTTTATGAACTGTTGTGTACACTGATGGTAATGTCTGTAGAGTAGCTGGTGCAGAGTAAATGCTCAGCAAATGGCAGGACAGCTCCAGCCCCACCTAGACTGTGCATTCTGGGAGAGCCTGGGCTTTTCTCTGTCCTCTCGGTGGCTGTGAGGCAGCCAGGGGCCACCGTCCCTGCTGGTGGATGGGCCCCTCCTGACCCTCCTTGGCAGTAGCCAGATCCCATTCTTATCCCCTTTTATATGGGACCTCAGTTCAAAGGAGCACCTTCCGCCTCCTCTGCAGCCCTGAGAATCCCTTACTTGGGAGATGAGTCTTGATTAGCCATAGAATCTCAGAATTAACAATCATGTCACAGGTCAGACACTGGGTCTCCTGGGAAACCTCAGGACCTGGGGCAGGGTGGTGTGTGGCCCTTTGGAGGGGCCTCCAACCTCCCAAGGATCTCTAATTTAGACCCGGGAGGTTGTGCCCTTGGAGAGCTTCCCAACGGGATGGAAAAGGGGCATCAGAAAACGGAAGCACAGCCTCCCAGCTGGCCCAGCATCTGAGCAATCAATGAGCCTTTCTGAAAAGGGCTTCTAAGTCTCATGTTAGTGGCAAGTCTATTGCCTTGTATATGGGGGAGGGGTGTGTGTGTGTGCAAATAGCATTAACCTGTGGAACTAAAAGCTTAAAAATATTCTGTAATACGTTGTGGCCCTGTTTTGCAATTTCTTCAGTTTTTTAATGCAGAAAATCTCCCCTTCTCCCTTCCTCCCCCTATCCCAGTCTTTCCCCCCCCCCCCCCCCCCGCAGGTGGGGGAACTGAGGCTGGAAAGAAAGTCAGTTCCTTCTTTTTTTGGTCATATTCAGGGACAATACATTCCAGGACTGTGGGTTCAAAGGCTGTGGGTAGTGGTTTGTGTGAGAAGGGGGGTCAGTGAATGGGGGACTCTGGAGGAACCCCAGGGCTAGATTCCCGGTGGCCCTGCCAACCTTCCAGCAAGTCAGGCTGTGTCCGATAATAAAAATGCCAATAGCTCACATGTACTGACTATGTGCCAGGCACACTGTGTGTGTGTTCTCAAGTTCAGGCCTTACCGCCCCCCAAGGAGAGCGGTCCCTGTGTGGAAAGAAGAGAGACCGAGGCAGGAAAGATTCCAGGCCGGACCACAAAGAAAGGGTCAGAGAAGGGGTCCTAACACAGGGAGTCGCATTCCAGAACCCTGTTCTTCCCCCTTCCCCAAGGGAAGAGAAAGGGCGGGGAGAAGAGAGGAGAGGAGAAGCGAGGGAGCTGGGAACCTGGGAGGGCGAGCTCAAGGAAGGGGACCCAGATCCAAGGAGTTTCCTTCTCACGTCTCCCGCTTCCCGCGGCTGCACTACGGAATCCGCCCTGCACTTGGCAGAGCTGCGCAGGAAGCAGGCAGGGCTGGGTCTGGGCTGGGGGTGCCCTCCCAGCGCCCCGGCCTTTCTCTGCGGGGTCCCCCACCCACCTCCTGCGGCCCCTCCCACTCCGCTCTCCCGGCTCCTGACATCACGCCCCGGGGAGGCGGGATCGGAGACAGAGGGGGACGTGGGGAGGAGGCTCCGCGCCGCCAAGAGGGAGGAGGAGGGAGGGCGCGCAGTCCCAGCTCAGAGCTTCCAAACAGCCCCGCGGCCTCGCCTCGCGCCCCAGCCCGTCGGTCGTTCCCGCCGCCAGCGCCCGGTGAGTGGGGATAGCGCCCGGGGGCCGCGCGCCCCTCGGAGGGCTCCGGGCGGTGTGCGCCCCCGGGAAGCGCGCGCGCGGGCCCTGCACCTACTGGACCGGGGTGGGGGAGTGGGGGTGGGGGGAATCCTGCAGTTGGTAGGGACCAGGGTGGGGTCGAGGCCCCTTCCTGCCGAATATCCACCCTTCCTCCGCCAGATTGCCCGGGACGCAGGCTTCCCGCCGGCGCCCCACTCGCTCGGGACCCGGAGTCCCACCTCCCCACCCCCGGGCTGCTTCTTTCTCCGAGAGCGCCGGGCGGGCGGGCGGGAAAAGTTTGGGGAGGAGTCCCAGGCTCCCCTCCTGTGGCGTGAGGGTCCACGGCGCCTCGCAGCGCTGCCCCCCGCCTCCCAGCGCGCGGGACGGGCTGCGCCTGGGTCGGGGCAGTGGGTCGTGCGGGGGAGCGCGATCTTTTCGGCTCCGTTGCGCCCCCCTACGGCGTGGAGCTACTTTCTTAGGTCTGGGTCGGTGGAGGAGCCTCAAGGCCCTGCTTGGGGGACGCCTCCACCCCTCCCCACCTTTCCTGGGGCTTTTAGGGCCCGCCCATGGGTTCCAGAGAAAGAGGGAACGAGAGTTCAGGTGTAGATGATACAGGGTGCTTACACACTCCAAAGAGGTCCTCATTTGGGGACCTCATATATAAGGTGACCAGATCGTCCCGCTTTTGGCGGGACAGTCCCGATTTTTAACAATTTTTCCTGCGTCCTGCTGCGTTTTAAAAAAGTAACGATTTTTGGAAAGAGGGAGACTAGTCTCCGGCACCTGGACCTGAGGGAGGCCCCACAGAGGAATGCCCTCCCTCCAGGCCCCACAACTCACTCCTTACTTTGGAACGAGGCTGGCAGCTTAGTTTCAGGTTTGGGGTTAGGGGCACTGCCCTCTTCCAAGCTCCAAAGATGTGTATGTGGGATTGGTGGTGGCGGTGGTGGTGTGATCTCATAACCTATCTGCCTTGGAAATGCAGAGACCAGCCTGCAAAGTGGCAAGTTTATGGCCTTGGCGAGGGCCTTAAGTGAGCAGCCCATACCCTGGGTTATCCACTCACATGAGGTACCCTAGCACCGGCAGGCTCCTAGGCACAGAAAGCAGAGTAGAGGCTACCAGGAAGGGGGTGGGGTGGAAAGGGAGTGGGGATTGTGGCTTAATGGGGGCAGAGCTTTTGTTGGGACGGGTGGAACCATTTTGGGTATAGACCGTGGTGATGGTTGTACGACACTGTGAATGTATTTAATGCCGCTGGATTGCACACTTGTAGGTAGTGAAAGTGTTATGTATATTTTATCATAATGTATTTAAAACGTCTTCAGCCACTTCTACCCTGAATCGGTTAGAAATGCCAGAGGCGCTCACTGTGGCTGGCCACTTCTCCCTGGAACTTGGCCTTGGGATGAGGAAGTGGACGGAGGATGAGGAAGGGGCTGGAGCCTGGTTTCCCCAGGAGTCCTCGAGGGACCGAGATGGAAACCAAAGCTGGCCGGGCCTTTGCGGCCCTGGGCGCCCACGGGCTCCCGTTCTCCCAGAGCCTCTCCTCGGTCAGTATTTCAGGTCCCTGAGCTAGGAACGCCCAGAGCCAGACTTGGGACCTCCACCTGCACCACCACCTTCCTGCAAGACCTCCCCTGTGCTCCACCTGGAGATGTCCAGGTGGATGGTGGGGAATGGGGGAGACCCTTCTGGAGAAATCGGGGCCCAGGTGCCAAGCCCACTGCCTAGGGAGGGGTGTGGGGGTGGCAGGAAGGTGCAGAACCTGTTTTCCCACTGAGCGTTTTGGATCTGCCACCTCTGCCCCCTCCTGGACTTGGGGAGTGCGGGTGGGAGGCCGAGAGCAGGCCACACAGCCTGGAGCTGCCTCTGTCCGTCCCGTGAGGACATTTTGATTCGCCTGAAATCCCGGGACAGGTGTTTGTGCCTCAGAGGTCCTGGGACAGGCGTTTGTGCCTCAGAGGTGGCCAGCGGGGTGGGTGAGGCCAGGGCCAGGCAGGGAGCTTGGGAGGTGACACTATGCTTCCCCACCCAGAGGGGAGGGGCCGTGCCCTCTCTGGCTGGCAGGGCTCCAGATCAGGGCACAACTCTTGAGGGTCTTCCTGGCATCTAATTATAAATACAGGACACATCCACTCAGTCCTCCCTGCCACCCCCTTCCCACTGCACACACAAGTGATTTGTAAGGCCCTTTCTTCCGGGAATTGAAGCGTGTTTCACCTACATATCCTTGCTCTGTCTCTCACATGGTGTCTCTTTCACACTCTCAATTTCCCAGCTAAAAACGGGTGGTTGATTGGGAGGGAGGCTCAGCTGGCCAGTGTTTCATCCCAGGCACAAGCCGCCCTGCCCTCCGGGGCCTGCCTGGCTGACGGGGGCAGCGTGAAGGCCTCTCTTTGTCGTAATCAACCCCGCCAGACACGGCCAGGAAGGGAAGTCTGTCGAGACAAAAACACAGGAATGCCTTTCCAGGCCAGATGGGGTGGCAGTGGACTGCTGGCTGGTTGGCGGGGTTTGTTTGGGACACAGGAGTCCAGCCACCTTCCTGGGGGGGAAAAGGGGGCAGAAAATTGTGTGTGATGCAACATGTGGTCGCTGCACCAGCTCTGTGGACAAGTAGGGCCTCTGACATAGGCTCTGGGGCTAATGGGGGGGGGGGGGGGTGGCAGCAGCACCCAAAGGTGCAGTGGGGCCCCGGCATTGGGACTGGGGAGCAGAACCCTTCCAGAAGAGGCAGTTAAAGGTCAGGTTGGCGGCCGGACTCCTTGTGTGGGAGCCCCTGGGGGATGTCTCACCGGGTTTGGAAACTCGGCGATTGGCAGCAGCAGCTGGAATGGGGAAAGAGGACAGCTGGCACCACAGCCAGGACGAGAGGCCTGACTCTTGGTTGTTGGCTGCAGCTTGTCCAGGGAAGGAATGGGGGCCTGGGAGGGGCGTGGCTGGAAGAGGAGGCTCCCATTCCCCGCTTCTTTCCTCCCTCCCCCAGGAGTGGTGCAGCCTGGCTTCCTGCAGGAGTTACTTAAAGACTGCAGTTTCCGCGGGACCAACTTTGGCGGGAATCGGCAGATGCATCTGGCTCTTGTTAGGGACAGGCCGAAGGGGGAGGCTAAAAATATCAGAGGCAGAGCTGCCACCCAGCGTGAGCGAGCGCAGGGCTGGTAACCTGATCCCCACGGTGGGGGGCTGGTGGTGACTATGACTCCGTTCTGTGCCAGTCCTTTGGGCTCCCCCAGGCAGCAGGGCCTTCGGTGAACTTCTGGAAAGGGTGAGAGCTCTCAGCACTCAGGGCAGCTGTGGACAGAGATGGGAGAATTTCAGGGGCACAACCTGCCTTAGATCACCCCATTGTGACAGCAGCAGGGCCACTCCGAGGGGTGGAGTGACTTGCCGACAGTCACCCAGCACTTGGCTGCAGGTTCATCTCTGTACCAATATAGTAAGATCTATAAGACACGGTTGAATCTTTTTAAAAAAGAGCAAAGCAATGTGTGGGGAAATATGCTATTTATATAGCAACAAACAAGTACGAGGTGTATTTCCTCTGTGTTCCTGTAACTCATATGTATTCCGTGTACACAAAGAAAAATGTCTGGGAGGATTTATCAAAATAGATTGAAGTGGTTGCCTCTTGTGAGAGGTGTGGAAGGCACGGGCACAGGGACTCCACTCTTACCTACAACAGAGAGTATATTCATGGGTTACTTGTGTACCTGAAGGTCAATAATAATAATATAAGGCAGTGGTCGGCAAATTGCGGCTCGGGAGCCACATGTGGCTGGCGAGCTGCGGTTTGCCGATCTGTTGACTGATGAGTTTGCCGACCACTGCCTTAGGGAAAAACACTTAAAAACCTTTTTAATAATGTACTAATGTCTTTAACCTGAAGTCGAAACTTCTGGGTAAGGGTAATGCCTTACCCAGTTTGCCGACCACTGATGTAGGGCATTTTGCAGGGGTGAGGGGGGGAGCTTTAGAAGACGGGCTGCATGGGGGAGGCTCTGGACAGAGTCTAGGTAGGGCTGTGCAGTAATCCAGGGACACATACAGGGGCTTAAAGCCAGAGGTGCATCCAGTCCCCATGGAACGTTGCTCTCATTGTGGACACCTCGTGGGTGTGATGGGTTTCCCATCTGGGGTCTGGGTGCTGTTCATAGACAAGTGGTGGGCAGAGATGGGGGGGTGGGAGCAGTGAGTACTCTTGGGGTGTGTTATTAGCACCACCATGAGGTCCTCAGCAGGGTGTCCTGGAGACCACTGGGAGTCTGGGCTGGGAAGAGAATTCAGAGACAGACTGGGTCTGCTTGGTGTTTGAGAGCAGGGAAGAATGACTTAGATTTTGCTAGTGTTTGGTTTTTGTTTTTGTTTTTATTTTTAAATATATTTTTTATTGATTTTAGAGAGGAAGGGAGAGGGAAAGAGAGATAGAAACATCAATGATGAGAGAGAATCATTGATCAGCTGCCTTCTGCACGCCCCCTACTGGAGATCGAGCCCACAACCCAGGCATGTGCCATTGACTGGAATCGAACCTGGGACCCTTCAGTTTGCAGGGCGGTGGTCTATCCACTGACCCCAACCTGTCAGGGCAGATTTTACTAGTGTTATCAGCAGCAATTAAAATAATGGACCTGCTGTTATTATGGCATTTATAGGATGCAAAACAATGTGCTGGCCTCCTGCTTTACAACCTTTATCTTATTTAAAGTGAGTAACCACCGTCTGAGGTAGGGACTCTTATCCCTGCTCTATAGATTTAAAAAATGGAGTCCAAAAAAATGTGGCTTAAACAGGCACCGTGACTGTGTTGGGATTTGAATCCAAGTCCATGGACCCCACAGCCTCTGTTCCATCGGACGTACTTTGGTCGCATCTCTCTCTTTAAAAGCAGACACGTGTGCTCTCCTCTTGAAGCAGTCCTGGTCCTTTGGGCCAGGAAAGTTCCTTGCTGCAGATATATTCTGGTGAGTGTCTGGGAGACA